GAACTAGTATTCTATACACCCCAAGGAAATACGTGGAAATTTCTTTATCCGTTTGCATAAATCATTATCGCCAATATATTTTCTCTTATTATTATCACGATCTTCAACAATAGTATTTGCAATTTTCTCTCCTACCCTATATATAGCTCGTAATTCACAAAATCTTGCCGTATTAATAGGAACTTTATCTTGAGCTACAAAAGGGTGAATTTTTCAGTAAGTAAAGAAAAAATAATGAATTCACTAAAAATATATAACCTACCTGCGAAAAATTGAGCACGTGACGAGTATATTTTACCATAAAAATCATTAAAATTATCTTTGTCAACAATAGCACAATTTAATGGTACCAGGTCCTTTGTATAGGTACTCTCACGATTTGATAAAATTAACAGTATCCAGTTATCATCCAAACCAATCTCTTTTGCGACTTTTTCAGACTTTTCATACTCCTCCTTGATCAAACTATCATCAATTTTTTCAGGGTTCGCTGAATCTTGCTCTCGCCACTTCATTTGAAATGACAAAAACATTGGCCTCCCGTTAGTGATCAAGAAACAAAACCTATCACCTTCTGCCCCTCCCCCATTTTTAAAAATTTTACTATTATCTTGAAGTGAAATATTACAAGTTCTACCCTCAGTATTTAACATATCATTACTAAAATTAGAGGCGTTAAAAGGAGGAAATCGATGAATAAGATAATGCGTGTTAACAGATTCATGATCAGGAATATCTACATTTGCATCCACATCTAAATTATCTGAATAACGAGCTCCTTTTAACAGTTCATTTAACTCTATATGTTTGTGTCCAAGTGCTGAAAATAAACAATAGCGCAAGGCCCAAAACTTAACATTAAAAATTTCCCAATCTTGCCAATAAAATGGTTCATCAGGATCAATAAGCACATGCCAGAATTTATGAATTGATCTATTATCAGCATTTTTTATCAGTAATCGTACCCAAAGATAGGGGAGACGTATATAAAAAAAGCCATTATTTCTTCTACCAGTTGGTTCAAGTGTTAAAATTCCATTGGACTTTAATATTTTGTATGTGATAAGCTGATTCCTTTCATCCTTGCCAGGAGAATCGTCAGCATGAACAGGTCTTTCTAAAATTGCATTTGCGAGCACTGAGGTGATCATGTTAGCACAAATTCTAAATGCATACCGTTCATTTAATAATGATTCAAGTGAGAACATAATGTCCACTAAATCAATGCCTTTCAATCCGCGGGTTCTGGATGCTTTCGAAATTTTTTCATAAAACATTTCTAAAGCGCGCACCTGACCACCTACATCAGAAATCATACGTCTGAAAAGATTATCTTTATAAACAAAATTTTGATCAAAGCCGAGATCACACGCTATTTTTAACATATCTTCTATGTCTAACAAATGCAATGGTAACTGAAGAGGTGGATGCATTGATTTTGTAATAATTGACTGAAGTGGACCTTCTACTGTACCCGCTAATACTGGAACAAAAAACATTTCTGAATCACAACTCGCTATGCCAATTGCAGATACGAGATCACGAAATTTATCGTAATCTTTATCAAATACTTTGTTGACTTCATCAATACCGACAATAATTGCAAGCTTATTAATACTTTTGTCTCTTTCATGCTTACTTTCGTAAATGGTTCTTAAAACAAGAGCCAATGTTAATTGCTTTGAATTTTCTCGCCCAATAATCGTGTCTCTAAACTTGGCAAAGCTCACATTTATATTGCCATGTACAAAATAGCTGAATAAGATCCTCAAAGCTACCGAAGCTTCTGCTCCAATATTAATGTCAAAATCCGTTACCCCTGTTCCATTTCCATAAGTAACGTTCAGAAAAACTGCATTACCTAACACGGATGCAATATCTTCATCTCCAGAATTTAAAGCCTTATCGCGAATAATATTAACAAGTTCCTGCAAAAACCGACTTTTTCCTGTGCCGGGACAACATGCTAGGAATGGGATTGGATGAAGGTTGCGATCATGTTTTGGACGGTCAGAGAAAAAGTTCTTAAATCGATTCAGAATCCCATTACTTTGTTCTGCGCTACCTCCATTCCAAAGAGTTTCTATAGTGTCATTACGACCACAAAAAGTAAATCGAACACCATACGTTTCAACTAACATCACCGGTTTTGTCCCAGTGCTCGGTATGTATTTTTGTATCCATTCTAAAATCAAATTTGCATCTCTAAAAAGAGGCACAACTATATTCAATTAAAAAAATTTAAAAAGAGTTAATAAAGGTGAATGTATTTTTGAGGCCGGTGTTTAGTGTAGATAAAAAAAAAACGAAGGCGATAAAATATTGAGAGAAACTTACCGATGGTACGCGCTTTTATGATGATGAGACTTTTATTGGCTGCATTTTTATTTGAAAAATAATTCGAAAGAAGTTCGATCGGCACCAACACTTCGCCTTTATTTTTAATCTGTTCTTCAGTAATAATATCTTTAAGGTAATCACCGAGCGCGACCTTCCAAAGGATCAAAGTATCAGGATCGTCGATTTTTAACATTCCTTTTTTCTTATTCCAAATAAGAAACTTGAGGTCTCCAATTTTAAGATCATCAAAGTCGATTTCATTTCCATTAATATCGTTTTTATCACAAATGGGAACCGTAAAAGAATCAGAAAGATCAGTCGTTCCTAGGAATATACAATTTAACGAAATTTTCATTTTGGGGATAATTCTGTAGAGCGATAGAATGAATTTTTAGTGAAAGAATTTTTTTAGAGGAAGAAATTTATTTTTTTAGAGAAAGAAAACTTGAAGTATGAGGTATATATACCTTTCTGAATACATCGTGACTAAAATCTTGCATAAACTTTTTGTGGCTTGTTGTGACGTAATACAATAAAAAATTAATAAGCATAGTAAAAAAAAATTTATTCAGTACACGAAAAAAATATTTAATACGGTTTTATCATTATTCATTAGATGTTTGATTTTCCGACGAATTCTCAGGGTAATAATAATATATAAAACCAGTCCTGTACGACGGTAAGGACTAATTTTATATTAATTCGTATCGTACCGTATATAGTTAGGTTTGTATTATAGGACCAGTATATACGTGATATTTTATTGCCATTCGTAAGCGTCTATTATTTTTATTTATTAAATTAAATATTACAGTCAACTCTTATTACAACGAGTTTTGATATAATGAATTAATTTCATAATATACGAATTTTTCACGAAGAAATTTTT